AGATTGAAGTCTGCTCCTCAAAAATAAAAAGAACGACCCATTTACTCAATGAATCATTGTAACAAGAAATGAATTCTGTGCAACAACCGCAGATAATTAGCTCAGTTGCGCGACAGAAACGAAACGCAAAACGCACACCAAAGTTTAGTCTCCGCCAGAAGAAAATCACTATCAACGACGTATGACCTGCAACTGGTGGGATGTATTAAAACTTCCTAAAACTTGGCGAAATCATGAGAACAGAAAGACGATACTGTCAACTGGAAGTAGTCCATCAAAAGCTGTCCCAATTGCACTTAGCACCGGCAAATCGAAGAAGCCAATCCCATTCCATAACAGTCCTATCATTCTGCGGAAATTGAACCAGCTGAAGTACGATATTCTCACTCAATCATCTCATTTGCCGGAAATTTCATAAATCTCGGCAATTTTCTCACGAAGAAATCCAAGCAATGATTCAAACCACCTTCCACTAATTCCCTGATTCAAGAAGTCCAGATCGATTCCAAAATGGTGTCAGGCCTGGTTAATGTTTATTTTCCACTGGACCGATCCTGCTAGGAGACGTGCTGGTAGGAAAATGTCGGTTGGAAACCTGCCTTGGAAAATGCGCTGGTGGTACAAGGGGACTGGTTCTAGCGTTCGAAGGACAGGTATAGACCACCAGTCCGTCGCTGAAGAAACAGATCGAGTAGACTTTTCATCAGTGATATGACTTGTCGTGGATACGTTGAAATGACCTACCACTGTATATTGATTGCAACTGATAAAAGCTTCTAAAAAAGACTGAAACCTAGGTCCTGCGCAAAGTTTAACGCAATGTGTATTACAAATAAGTCTTAATACCTTATTCATGAATCAATCTAGGGCGTCATATTTTAATCAATAATCCCTATATTCAGAAAAGGCACTAAGCTGCGAAGCGACGGTTAAAAAATCGACAACATATTTGCAACAACCTAATACATCTCCTTAACGACAGCCACAGCTAAAATGCAGTCAGGTAGTTTCCCGTAAACAGCAATGATAAACATAGTTCCTGCATATATCACTTCGAAAAAGGAAGCAGTGAGCTTAGGCATCTCACAGAATTTTAAGACTTTTCACATCGTTGGATAATGCTCTGAATCATCTGAAGTTGATGAAGGTCGTATACCAAAACAAGCGAAATTATCGACACTGTTTTAAACAGAGTGAATATTTTGCAGGAGAAGAGATATCGAGTAGGAAGCTTGCTGATTTGAAGTCTCTGTCAGTCTTTGCGGAACGATTCAGGCGAACATTTTCCCGGAATTTACAATAGCGCGATACTCCATTTGAGCAGCCAGTTACACATTCATTTAGATACACGCACAACGATTGCAGTCCATTTTCCAGAATAAACACTACTTCTTCAGTATAAAAGATTGCTACATCATTTAAACGCTGGCCTCTCGACTGCATACAACAGAAATAATGATCGCGAACTGGGACAAACATTTTATGCTGTCATGAGGGACGTAACCATTAAAATAAAAAGAACAAAATTTCCAAGTTAGGTACAGCACAAAGATTGAGTTCCAGCTTTTGGAAACAAGGCGAAAGAGAATCCAAGGAGGCAAAATAATATTAAGAGAATCTGTGCAACAAGTATAACAAAAGTGCAGCGTCATTGGGAAAGGGTAATCGACAGGGTAACATTGCAGATATCACCGGCAATGCAGGAAGATATATGAAATGGATTGCTTATGAATTAACAACCAATTAAATTTCTGAACTATGATCAACGCAATGAAAAACTTAACAGAGGTCGTATGGACCAGCTTATTAAACTTGGACTAAAGAAAAGAATCGCCAAAAAAGGCTACTTTAAAAGCGAGCTGAGGGAATATTACTGAATGAATAGAAAATGTTATAAACTTCGTAATATATCCGTACAAACCGTTTGGTAAGCTTTTTAAAAGCGGACCTGATGACCACGCCTCTAGATACTACACAGAACGATCCAATTCTTATGTTGGCGAGATCACCGCGAAAAATCGTATCGCCCATGACGATCGTCTATAACATAAAAAGTACAGTACATAGAGTACAGTGATAACCCGTAGTTCGTCGGTGATGTGTTGTTTAAAATCAAGGAGAACAACGGTGCCGCTTAACACACCGATTGATATGCAACATGCGCTATCCAAGGATCTATCTCCTCTATAACCAGATATCAAGCAGCATACCACCGTCTTCTTATTCCTAGTTGCTGAGGGCACTTTCAGCAGGTTACCGCTCCATGGTATTTCAGCATCTGCATTACAGTGATGCACTAAGCATCGCTCTGTTTGCTAGAATAATAGCTAGCTCGCTACCAATGGTTCTTAAGTGATCAATAGCTTTTCGAGTACTAGCAAAACTCCAACGAGAGCGGTCAAAATACTGAACGAGAAAAGTCAGAAACCGAGACAAAGTCTCCTGTAAAACGTAGCCACCCTTCGCTTATGATACTGACGCTAGCGAACGCCATACTGGTTCGCTCGTCGCCCGGGTTACGAAGGGACGTGCAGGCTGTTTGTGAACGAGACAGATTAAGAAACCTGCTTCACGCCTTCCGGAAACCGGGAACATAGCAGCACAACGACGGCTACCGAAGATCTGAGTGAAGATGACACAGATACCAGTCAGCAACGGAATCGCTACAGAGGCAGACAGTGTGATGCCATATTTTCGATACTGACAACTGAAATCAAAATCCAAAGTTAGAACATCTCTTACTGAGATGAGGAAAGAACAAGAACCAGTTGATGGAACCGCGACGAACATATTGGATTAACTAGACGCTCGTCAAAAAACTGAAGATTCTGGAATC